TTGTAGTGGTAGACTGAGCTCCTTGAGGTTCTTTAGCTTAAAAAAGAGAAGGTTAAGGAGTAACTTGATTATGGTCTAGAAGTATCTACAAAGGGAACAAATATTTAATAAAGGTCTCTTCAATCTAGCAGAGAAAAGTGTAACATGATTCAATGGCTGGAAGCTGAATCTAGACAAATTTAGACGGGAGGTAAGGCGTACATTTTAATGGTGAGAGTAATTACCCGTTTGGAACAATTTACCAACGGTGGTGGATTCTCCATCACTGACCGTTTTTAAAGCAAGATTGGATGTTTTTCTAAAAGCTCTGCTCTAGGAATTATATTGGGGAAGTTCTATGGCCTGTGTTATACAGGAGGTCAGACTGGATAAGCACAATGGTCCCTTCTGGCCTTGGAATCTATGAATAACTGACTTTTCAGAAAAATCAAGAAATAATCATTTGTGTTTGTACAAAAACAGATTTTTTGGCAAATAAAAAAAAATCACAGATTTTTTTTTGTTTCTTTTTTGAGAATTTTAAACAAAAGCAAAGGAAAAGAAGGGATAAATTAAAAATAAGTAGGCTCAAGAGATAGTGCTCCCAATAGCTCAGTGGCTAGGGGTACTCCTGTGAGCGACCTAAGTCTGAATCGTCACTCTGGAGGAGAGACTTGAATCTAGGTGTGATCTGAACAGTTTGAGAGAGCTCAGTCCCAGAATAGCCAGTAGCCTTGTGGTTAGGGCACTTGCCTGGAGGGTGGAAACCTGGGTTCATGTCCCTGCTCCAGGGCAGGGTTTTGAACTTGCGTCTTCCATATCCAGGCAAGTGTCCTGGCTCTTGTTCCTCTTCTTTTGTGAATAGCACCTACATCCTCTTGTGAATCTAGTCTCAAAAATCAAAAGGATTCATTTGGACATTTCCAAAAAGTAATTTCCTGTTTTGTTTCAACTGAAACATTTAGCCAAAATCAACTCAAATTCACAACATGTTTTGGTTTATTTGAATCTGCAGGGCTGTTGGTTTTTTGTTTTTGTTTTTTGGGGGGTGTTTTTGGTGACAAACAAAAATTTGTCTGAAAAACCTCTGTCAGCTCTAAGTACAACATCAGCTTCTGAATTGCAATGTGGGTGTCCAGTGCGTTGCTAAATTTACTAGCTGTTTGTCAGTTCTGCCAGTCTTCCTCTGGTGCTGTCAGCAAAAAGTTTTATTTTTCAAAGAGTTATTTTGTCCTTTCCTCTGACCCTCTGCCTCAATCTCACACTGCTCAAGTGTAATCTAGCAGAAGATTCATGCAAAAGAGTAGGGAGTGTGTCTGCTAAAGAGACATTTTTTAAGCTCTGGGCCTGTCCAGATACAGATTTTTTTTCTCATGGTGAACTCTGCTGCAGCTGATGTGGAGGCTGTTCCTTATTTCCACATATCACCCCTGTCATCACCTTCCTTCCCCGCACACACAGCAACTTAGATCTTTCAGGTAAATGATGTCAGCAACACTGGGGCTTCAAACTAATGTCATAACATTCTACTGCAGCTGAGATGCTGGAAAGCAGGTGAACAGACCAACAGAGAAGGGGTTAAAGTAATATATTTGTATTGGATACCAACCTTCCAGCCACGGGGGAACTGTTCCCCTTTCACTAGAGTCCTTCTGTCTCTTTGCATTACTTTTGGTGCCATATAACACTTTAAAAGCTCCCTGGCTGATGGATGTGGCCAGAGGCTGAGATCTGCTGGGAGAACCATAATGTATTGAGTAGAGCCTCCTCAGTAAAGGACAATGGTATAGCTGTTAAATGGAATATGGAATGATTTTTAGCTGTCCTGGAGCTTTTTTCTATCACTATTTATTTTCAGCTCTAATCTGGGACTGGGGATTTGGAGAGGACATGTAGATTTCTGTTTGGATGATCCATGGTTGTTGAGATTTTTGTCATCCAAACTAGGCAAAAACTCAGCAACTGTAGAGCAAAAGAGGCACGTGGAGCTGGCAGCCCTGGAACTGAATTATTGATTAACACTATGCTGTATACTATATGTTCATTAAAAATGGAAGCACAAAAAGTCATCTGAACTGTTAGTTAAATAAAGCTGTTAAAAGAAATGAATTTTGTGTGTAGCAATATTGAGAGCATATGTAGAGCTATAGTACGATGGAATCCTTTCTTATGGCTGGTGTCAATAAAAGGCAACAAATAAAAAGTAAGTTGGATGTTTGAGAGAGTACTAAAGTTTGACAATCAATAATTTTCCTTTGTTACCGTAGAATATTCAGTTCTAGAGACCAAAAAGGAAATGTCTTTCATAAATTTTGAAAGTATCTTTATTAGAACCAATTGTTTGGGTCAGGCTTGTGCCCTTTTTCCCCGTACTGCAAATATCAAACTTTAATCCTTTCTGAAAATAAAGATCAAGCTGTCACTTTAACTAAATACCTTTTCATTGCACTTTAATATCCCATTTTATTAATATCTGTGCATGTCTTTGTTTGCTCTTTAAGTCTTGCAATGAGTTAGGTGTGGTGGTGATTTTGGGGGGAGGGAAGAAGAGAAAATACCCTTTATGATTAGGATATGTAGGTTTTTTTCTACTTTCTTTTGTTCTCAAAGCTTGTTACATTTCCTTAATCTCCCAGTTATGTGTCTTTTATATTGAGAATTGAGCCTATATCTAAGAAATAATAACTGCATAATGATTACTGAAAAGAATAACATTATGCACAAGGAAAAATAACTGTAGACATTGTTTGAACATGAGAAAATAGATCCAGTAAGGTAGCTTGCAGTGTCTTCTTTACTAAAGGCCATGTTGCAGCATATTTATTTTTATTTTTAAAGCAGAAGTCTTCACTGAAATCAGTGACGACTTCTGCTTAAAAATCAATGGCATACTATGGCTCTAACAAAGTGGTAAATTCCATGATGATATAAATTGCATTTTGTTTTTTAAGATTTAAAATTCACCTGTCTTAAATCCTGGAAGAAATTTACAGGATGCTTGAGAAACTGCATTTTGTCTGAGAACATTATACATAGAACTGTTGAACAACCTACCTTTGCTGTCCACAAGATCTCCATCGGAATCTCAGTCTTGCTGGTATTGTAAATACTGTACATGATGGTTGCAGGTGTAAGTTAGGCAGAAAACAAGTCTGCTTCCCTGCCATGAAAATAAGCAGTGTCCCATATAAAATAGAATGATTGCCTTTGCTGGCCATCAGCAGCATGCAATGAAGAAGGAGCAGTCATATCAGCCCAGGATGGAGAGATGCCAAATAGACATACTTGGGCCCCATGAAAATGCCAAGGGACTAGTGCTGACAATTGCACCAGCATAGCATCATCATCATAGCAAGAAACATTTGCTGCCTATGAATCCTTAGCTGTGCAAGCTTAAAATTCACTTTCCATGAGCATACTTTAGTTGCTTGAATGTTAGTGGAAATCCAACACAATGGGGCTGTGCGCAGACAGGTTGTGATATTTACCTAATTCTAAAATCCCAAGTTACTGCATTGACTCCAGTACAGATTTGGTGGATTTTCACCAGTGAAACTGAAAACAACATTTCATCTGTTGAGACCTGAGTTCACTTACAAGAGAGCTAGCTTTTGTTGGGGATGGTATGGCATGAGTTAAAATGTATGGGTTTGATCCAAAGCCAAACCAAGTAAATAGGAATCTTTAGATGGACTTTAATAGGCTTTGCATCAGGCCACATGTAGGTGATGTGGGTGCTAATTTTCACCATTTCTATCCCACTGAATTTGGTGCAAAGACTCCTGTGGTAGCTGTGCTCAGACTTTCGTTGGTCTGAATTTGATCCATATTTTTTTTTAAATATTGGAACTGCTTATTTTGCATCCTTCTACCATTGCCATTTTACTAACTACTGTCAATGAATCAAAGGCTATCATAAATACAAAAATAATAGAGAGGGAGAGAGAACATCGCTGTAATTACACTGGCTGGAAAACAACATTTTTTCATCAGTCATATGAAATATTCTGCACTGGGGTTCATAGTTTAATGTGTTAATAGGACTCACTGAGACAAGCACACAGTCAGAAAATATGACTTTACATTGTTGGCATCTGGCTGCTACAAGGGTCACTACAATTGTAATAGTTCCCTTGCTATGATAGTTCTGTCTCAGCCACATAGTTACTGTGCTGATTTATTTTTTAATCTGTAGGTTTGGTATATGTCAGTGTAAATGCGTATCAATGTCTTGCATTACCGATTTTGTGTGTGTGTGTGTGTGCGTGTGCACAGCTTTGCAATTTTCCCCATTGGCTGTTCTTTTGCTATTTTCCCCCTATTACTGTATTATTTATTATTATTATTTTATTTTACTATGGTAGCAGCTAAGGACCCAGCCCACTCCTGAACTGCAACATCCCTGCCATTTAACACTGGGCCTGTTCTGAGAAGAGACCACCAGTCATGACACATGCATTCTGAATCAGTGGTTTTATTTTATTCTTCTATATTGGTATAGTTTCCTTTTCATCCTTTTTAGTTCCTGTGGAATTCACACATATCATTCTGAGAATAAGGTTTAATGCAAAGCTGTTTGTGTATAGCTCCAGTTATGATAAGAAAGGGGAAATGTTTCCAAGGCTTATGTTTTGTGGCAGAGATTAAAAATGGTACACAGCATCCCGCCTCTTGATAATTTGGTCCACTATACTTCAATATTTTCTGCGTGAACCAAGAGTAAACATATTAGAAATCAATGAGGTGTAACAATTTTATTTGATAACTAGGCCAAAAAGAGCACTTGTCTTCAGACAGACGCAAAAGTAATACTAAACAAAGTAAGAATGAACCATTCCTACAGTCACTGTGCAGTATCCTACAGCAACTCAATGCTATCAGCAAAATAGTACTAGTTTTTTAAACTCTGCTTCTTGATCCTCTCTCTCTGTCTCAAGAAACTAACTAGGTGTGAGAATTTTGATGAACACTTCAATGTAATTTTACGTAATTTAATGTTGCCATGTAAATCTCTTTTATAGGTCCCTTTAGATGGAATTTAATGCGGCAAAAACCTTGTCATCAGAAGGATTAATGTCTGCATTAGCATTTCTGCAATAAAATCTGAAGCTAAGTGGTGCAGGCCACAGCCACCTCAAAGCTGGATTCTACAGCTCTACATTAAGTGCTGGAGTTTTTATTACTTGCTGTAGGGAAACCTTTGCCAATGCTTACAAGGAACTGTTTATCCCTGCTTCTCTGGGTCCTGTTTGATGGAGGTCTCCTAACACCACTGCATCCACAACTACAACAGACTTTAGAAGCACAGCCGAGAGAAAATGTTGTCACAATGCCAGGGAGGAGGTCATCCGCCCAGCGGGTCAAACGAGGCTGGGTATGGAATCAGTTTTTTGTGCTGGAGGAATATATGGGCTCTGAACCCCAGTATGTGGGAAAGGTAAATTTTTATTTTTTTCTTTAAATGCTGAAGTGACAGACAGACAGTAATATAAGCTATAAATGTGTACTTTTTAGGCAGGATGAATTTTCTCCATCCTTCCCCCCCCACCTCCCATAAAGTTAAACTGAGTCTTCTGGTGTTATATTTTGTGTATCTATCTGGTGGATCATACAAAATATGAATGGAAAACTGTGCTTAAATTAAATTTAAATTCAGAAAGTCCCTCACTTTTCCTGCAGTTTATAAATAAATAAATAAGTAACCCATATTTTGGTGTTTCATACATGTTGCCAGGTAAGCAAAGAGAACAATAAAGCTATTAATAAATGCAGTTTGCATACTGCATAGGAATCAGATCCTCAGCTGGTGTAAATTATCATAGCTCCATTTGTTTCTGTGCAATTATGTTGATTTATATCAGCTGAAAATTAGACCCCATTTGTTTCTCTTAGAATACTAGGGTACAAACAACTCCCCACCCCAGCATATGACTAATGTAGATATCAATATTTTTTATCCACAAATTTATAACCCTTACTATCTGACTATGTTCACATTACCCTTGCTTTGGAGATAACATAAATCTGGGAATTCTGAAACATTTTTGTGTAGTAATAGACATAGTAGGATCTATTATAGGGCTGTTCATCATTGTTAGAATTAGATGTAAGATCAATTTCAGGGGTCGGATTTGGACCTGCCACTCTTGGGCCCAGGGGCAAGCATACTGCCACTTGATCCATACTGAGGTACTGCATGTGTAAACTGTCATTTCTGTAGTTAGGTACTATTACTCACATTACTTTTTGGCAAATACTTGCTTTTGGTCTGTTAAGGACAAATCATATTGTGGTACCATATGCTTCACTTTCTGATCATTCCGACTGTTTCCATGTATGCCTGACAGGTGGACAGGTTGCCTCATATCACATATTTCAAACAAATATACAAATCTGATGCAGCTCTTGTACTCTGTGTGTGTGTGTGTGTGTGCGTGTAACACACACACACATATATATATGGGCTGCATTACAAGATAATGTTTGTTTGAACCATGACTTCGTGTGTGTGTGTGTGTGTTACAGTGATCTGTAACAATCATTTCTTCTGTGGTGCATGTCTAAGTTGGCAACCAGTTGGGTGGGGTGCAGGCAACAGTAGGAAAAGAGTCTTCAGAAATGAAAGATAAGATGCAACCTAAACTGTCAGGCAGCCAATGTGCAGAGTTGCACAGAGGTTGGAGGAGTAGTTAACAGCTCCAATTAAGTTTTAGTAGGATATGTCAAAATCTGAATGATGCATTGGAAATTGACCCAGTGATGTTTTACCTAATTCATATTTCTCCTTTACTCTGTTACGCATAAATTCTAGTTTGACCATAGGACTTTACTCACTGGAAGTCAGAGGCCAATGATTCATTCCTTGGGTACTCAAAACTGCCACTGAAATGAGTGTTGGAGTTTTGCTTGCAATAGAAATGCAACATCATGCATTGACTTTGCTTATTATCACAGAGATATTTTTTCCATCTTTGTTTCAAATGTAAATGGTTCTCTCTGTGTGGGGAATGAATACCATATTCTAACTGTAACCTGAATGATATCTACAACAATGTCACCTCTCTACCATTCCTGCCCCAAGAAACCCCTCAGAACCAGGGAAAGAAGAGTAGAAGACTCCATAATATCTGCTAGGGACTTTGCTTTGCCAATCTAAAGTGGAATGTGTTCAAATATTATAGCTTTAGACATTAATAAAATCCTAAAATAGAGAGAGAGAAAATTTTGAAATGCAAAATATATATATTGAGAACAAAACACAAAAGGTAACACGGTGAACCTGTTTACCATCCCACCCCCCGCAAAAGCAAACTAATATAATGATAAAATTTGGTCCTTGATGCTCTGTCTAAGATTTATTGTACCTGTAGTTCCTGGAGTCATGCAGTATTTGGTGACATCAGGAGTAGGTGCTCACGTACGGTAGTGATGAGTGTTATATAGACATGGATAGATAGACAATGTAGTTTTATATCTTTTTGTCTTCTGTATTGGGTTTTTCAAATTACCTTAGGATTGTTTATTTGAGATTGAGTGTTTGTTTGACAAATCCCATCTTAGTCAAAGTAGTTGAAAAATCCTGATACACTACAGCATTGCTGATCTGACACAAGCCTGACCTTTTGAGCACACGGACATAGGAAACCCTGCATCTCCTCTCACTTTTTAAAATGTAAGTAAATAATAAAAGTGATCATCAAATTTGCTATGATTGTACATTATATTTTCTCTTAACTCACCCCTTCCTCTGTCCTATACAGAAAATGCTAGAGAGGAAATCCTATTGCAAGGTTTTAAATCACATCTTCTCCTGTGGTACAGGATTGCTAAGCTTTACTCTGTCTCAGCACACAGAGATGCTACCATAGCAGCACCATGGCTCACAGGTTTTTGTGATCTTATGTAAGATGATTTGCTAATCATTCTGGGAAGACAATGGTCTTCTAGACTGACAAAGGATAACTGGGTCATATTAGCCTTGCATGAACAGTGGGTAACATTTGTACATCTTTACAAACTAAAAGAATCATTATGGTAAGGAGCAATTTTAGTCACGAGTAGGATTTACAGATTAACCAGGCTTGTCTTTCATTCTGAAGTCTTTTTTTTAAACTGATTCATATTGCTGAAAAGAGGAGTTCTTTATCACACATAGGGGTATGGATATAATTGCACTTTAAGATAAGTAATATTGATGCATCTTGAGTACTTAGTGTACATTTTAAGGAAATGTGCCCCTAGTGTGCCACTTCTACCTAGAAGATAAAAATAAAATATGAAGGATCTGCTTGTGGAACACACAATAATTGTGAAAGGGTAATGAATGCCTCATTAACATTAAGGCAGAAAACACAGATCTGTTTCTGGGACATGAAAACTGTTTAAGCTGATTGTGTATTGAAACAATGTATGGTTCTACTTTATGTTTATTATCAATTTCCTTGGTGAGGCAGAATTGTATCTGTCATAAGCATTTATCTCCAACAATCCACCAGAGATCATTGAATACATTATTTTATGTGGCTGCTTCTTTGCTTGATTTCCCGAATATATATATAATAATTAACAGCTCTATCCTAGACATACAGCTATTTACTGTACTTTCAGTTGGAGATACATATAATCTCCAACGGAAAGTATAGTAAATAGCTGTATATCTAGGATAGAGCTGTTATTTAACCTTTTGAATACTAGCAAGGGATGCACACCCAACTGGGAAGAGGATATTCACAGACATTCCCCCATTGCATGATATGAAACCTCTATTAGAGAGACCAGGTGGGTGAGTATCTTTTATTGGCCCAACTTTCTGTTGGAGAGAGACAAGCTTTTAAGCCACAAAGCTCTTCTTCAAGTCTGGGAAAGGTACTTTCAGCATCACAGCAAAATGCAACAGATTTTTAGTATAAATACTTAACTATACTATATATAAGTATAAGGGACCATTCAAGTTAGAGTGGCCCGATAACACCTCTGCAATAATAAGACAAAAAGAGGTGGTTAGTGAATTACAGATTGTTGTAATGTGCCATAAATCCAGTGTCACTGTTCAGTCCATGATTTTATGTGTCTAGCAGAGTAATGAGTTTAAGCTCTCAGGCTCATCTTTTGAAAGTGTTGTGCAGGTTTCATTTGAGGATTAGGACTCTTAGATCAGACAGAGAGTGATGGCTTTGTGAAAAGTGTTTGCCCACAGGTGATGGGGTGTTTTTGTCTTTTATCATTTTCCTGTGTGAGTTCATTCAAGAACATAGTCATTCTCTAGTTTCACCCACATAGTTGTTGTTGGGGCATTTGGAGCACAAGATGAGGTACACTGTTTGTTGTGATAGGCATGTGTAGGATCCATGAATCTTGAAAAGTGTGTTGGGCAGGGGAGGCCGTTGATCATTGTAGCGGTGGTGATATATCTCAGGTTTTCCATGCGGTGCACAAATGAGTTCCTACATATTTTTGAAAATCCAATGTTTGCTTTATTTGTAATGATTCTTTAGCATCAAGTTAAAGCCATACATTTGGGAAGCAATTCTTGACTTAGCACTATTTTATTATTTCTTGAAGTATTGGAATATCCAGGATTTTTCATGTGGCATGTAAGACTATTTTGTGCTTGGAATTACAACTTTTGTATCTTTTTCTTCCAGTCAGGTAACAGGACAATTCTCTGATAGGTGCACTGTGGGTTATATGCTTATTTTAGAACTGCAGCACTAACAATATCTCTGTAATTTATAAATAAAGGTTTAATGTGCTTATTAAATCAGCTACCATTTTAACTAAACATTTAGAGATGACTACTTAATTTTGGAAGCCACCTGGAACAGAACGGAAGAGATTTACAGCAGTAATGTCAGATATTATCAGCCAAAACTCTCAATCCAGTTTATGTTGGTTTTCAGGAGACTATCTTAAAAAGTGTCAGGTTGCATTTCAAATGATAGTTGTAGAAACTGATGGGGATTAGGCTAGTTCACAGTTAGAGAACCTGAAATAGTGCTTAAGGTTGACACATTCAAAGCTCGCCGTAAAGAATTCTCTTGACAACACACTTTGGCCATTGTAAATGGAACAGTAAATCAAGGTTTCAGAAATCCTTTGCCTGCATATTGGACAGTAGGGTGGGAGCACAGTAAGAATCTGCCAGATTTACAGGCAAGAGACTCAGGGAAGTCTCTATAGCAGTTCTAGAATAAAATGCAAATATTGTGCCCAATACTGCCCTGAGTTCTATTTGGGCAAATCAGGAGGATTTTTGTATGCTTATTTGATTCTAGAAATAAATCCATTTCATTTGTTGTGTTTGATATCACTTTCCTGGCATCTTGAGGCATTAAAAATTGCAGAAACATTGTGTGTGTGTGTGTAGACACACACACACACATTATTTATGTTTATGATTTTTAATGCCTCAAGATGCCGGGAAAATGACATCAAGCA